TGATGGTGATAGTGGTGATGGTGATGGTCGTAATGGTGGTGGTGATGATGATGATGGCGGTGATGGTGATGGTGATAGTGGTGATGGTGATGGTGGTAACGGTGGTGGTGATGATGATGGTGGTGGTGGTGATGGTGGTGATGGAGACGATGGGGATGGTAGCGGTGATGGTGATTGTAGTGATGATGGTGATGATGGTGGTAGTGACGGTAGAAACTGGAGTAGGAATGGTGGTGATGGTTGTAGGATGGAGGCAAGGATGGTACTGCTGCTGCTGCTGACAATAATAGTAACACAGAGTTATCATGTACCCAATCCAGGCCAGGTTGTGTGCTTGGCCTGCATCATCTCATGCAATCCTCCCAAAGACCAACAGGGTGGAAATGATCATCATCTCCACCCTACTGCTTAGGAAACTAAGCTCAGCATCAGGAGATACCTTACTCAAAATCGCACAGCTAATACGTGGCAGACCCAGAACTTGAACCTGAGTTGGTCTGACTCCAGATTCCATACTCTCAGCAAACAATTAAGGACTGAGAAGGAGAAGGCAGGAGAACTGAAAAGGATGGAGGCTTGCCCTGACCACTCTGTTTACCATGACAACTGACCCCCCTTAGCCTGCTCCACTTTTTTTTCCACCCCATTTATTCTAACACACTATAAAATGTACATGCTGATTCTGATTATAATTTATCGTCTGTCTCCTACTAGAATGTAAACTCTACGAGGACAGACATCTAAGCATTTTCAGAGACTAGAACAGTGCCTGACATATAATAGACATCCAATAAATTCTGTTGAATGAGTGAACAAACGTTTTTTGGTTTCACAGCCCAAATCCTGGCTTTGGGGTCCCTTGGGCTTGTTGAGGGATGACTGAGTGTTCCTTGGTTTCAGGCTAAGGCGGATCTAACAAGCTGTGAGAAGAGAAGAAAGGGTTAAGCTTTCCTTTCTTTGGGGTTCCTTGGGCACTGGGAAATAGAGATATCCCCAAAATCCAAGGAGAGAACTAATTAGAGTCACAACTTGAAAATAAAGCTGCCCCTATCCTCTAAGAAAGAGAGAGAGAGAGATGGAGGGAGGGACGGAGGGCGAGACAGAGAGGCAGAGATTACACAGATTCTTGGCCAGGCATTAAGCTTCCTTACTCCATATGCTTGGTTTCCATGAATTTCTCAACACAACTTATATTCCTTCAGTCATTTAACAAACACACGTTGCCTCCCCACTACACACTAGAATTTAAAATATCTGATTTCATCACTGGGGGAGCCTCCAGCTTCCTAGCTGAGAGCTGGGGATACCAAGGTGAATAAATATCGTATGACCCTCAAGAAGCAAAAGTCTAGTGGGAAAGGCTAGTTTGATCCCTACTTTGGGATAACATTTCTGGTTAAGACAAACGGCAGGCAGTGATGGAACCATCCAGCTCCCAAGACACTTAGAAGCTTCAAGGAACCAATGATAATTTTGGAGGGAAGAAGAGAATTTAAAACAAGAAGGATCCTCCAAGGATGGCTCACTGCTTCCCCCTGGTGGAGATCAGACACAAGCACGTCCCGCGCTCTCCAGCGCTTTCTTCAACAATAACCTGGGGGAGGAGCGCATGGCAGCATGCTGAGCCTGCCCTCCCAGAGGTCACAGTCCATTGAGGGAGCGAGACAGGGAAACTGCCAATCACTATAAGGCATTACCAGTTGGTGAGAGAGGCATACATTCATTCATTCATTCATTCAACAAAATGCAGGGCCCTCGAGGCAGGAGCTGAGCCTGCGGTGAGCTGGGATGCACCAGGCGGACAAAGGGGGAAGGGAACGCCAGGCAGCGGGGTGAATACTAAGATGTGAAATCCACGCCTGGCCCAGGAAACCCTAAGTAACTAGTAGATTTATCTGCTATTTAGGGCTTGAGGGGGAGATGTGAACAATGAGGTTCCAAATAGAAACCAAACCCTGAGTCACTTTGCATTCGCTGAGAGAGACTATGTATGTTCAGCCCCTGGTGAGTTTCACGGGCTCCACGCTGGGGGGAGGTGACTGATTCAGAAACATTTCTTGAGTCACTCCCATGTGCCAATGCTGAGCTGGGAACGGAACGGTGAGCAGAACCAGGGGCCGCCCCTGCCCTCTTGCAGTGTAGGGTCTGGTGCGGGAGAGGGGTGTGAAAGATGACCTGAGTGGAGCCATACTAAAATAGAGCCAGAGCAGCCATTTCAGAGGAATTATCTTGCAAATCTTCTTTATCTTCCAAGCTGGACCAAACCACCAACATCCCTAAGAAGATCAGTAAGCACAAGAATATCCTATGTGGAAGGACTGATGAAATTAGACTTTGCTAATGACCAAATCGCTAACCAATCAATGAAGGACAGTCTAGCCTTTTGCCTGATGACTGAATCTCAAGCCAATCCATGAAGTACAAGCCAGCCGTACCTCATCCAGCACCAAAGAACCCTTCTTTCATACAACCACCTCATCCTTCCTTTTTCTCATAGAAACCCTATGACCCCCTCCTGTAATCGGAACACGTTTTGGGTTTCTATCTGCATGTGTGTCCTCTGAATTGCAATTCTAACTGCCCAAAGAAATATCTGCTGTTTGAATTGTAGGGAATTTTTCCTTGGTTGAAAGAGGCATCCATAAAAAATAAATCACTCTCCATAAAAGGTTAAAACGAAAATTCAAATGGGAGAGGTGGCACAGCTACCCACGGGAAGAGCAGAAGTGAAGTATGAGACTAAGAAACCTCAGTGCAGAGGGGACAATCCTGCACCGAGCTGAGCTTCTCTCCACGCTGGCCTCGGCGCTAAGAGCTGGAGGAATCGGGCAAAGCGCAGCACGCGGCCACTGCTCTCAAGGACCCGGTGGCTCTAAGGTTGGCATCGGAGGCAGGACACTGTGGACAGAATCACAGCCGCCTGGAAAGGGTTGGAGGTGAGCCCAGGTGGAGATCAGCGGCGCTTGGTAAATTATTGAGAATAAGATAGAGAAGAATGTAAAATATCACGCCTGGTAAGAAAGAGCACTGTTTCATGAAACTCATTGCAGCTGTGTGTGTGCAATAGGTGTGGGGGGGTGCAAGATAAATTGTATCTCTGTGAGTCTTGATCAAAACAGTTTGAAAAACTCCAGATGAGAGGCCCTCTCAAGGTCTCACCCAGCCCCAGGATGTCACCAAGGATGACTGCTCGGCCCACGGAGGGGTGACATAAACCGCCTTCTCTCAGGCGGAATGGGGAGGCCAGCTCCACTTTTAAGGGACTTCGCCAAACTCAGTAACACAACTCTGATGGGAAGCTGTGAACCCAGAAAAGGAGTGAAGAGCCAGACCTCCACTGCTCCCTCTCATCATTGCAAGAGGTGGGGGAGGGGGAGAGGCATAAATCCATATGAACTTTCTGGAAAGCGATATGGCAGCATTCACTGAAGTCTTAAAATACGTAAACTCTTTGCTGCAGGAACCGCACATCTATGAATTCCCACTAACGGAATAACCATGGATGTTCCCCAAGATGCCCAAAGCTGTTCACTGCTTATAACAGGAAAATATGGATACAACCTAAATTTTGAAAAATTGGAGACTGGTTGAACAAATGGCTGCAGTATTCAGGCATTCAAAATGAGGAGGAAAACACGTTTATTGACAAAGGAAGATGTTTATGATTTAACATTGTGACTCGGTGCAATTTTTTAAAGGAGGGAAGCTGCCAGCGGCTTCTCACTGTGGGCAGAGAGAGGAATCTCCCTGAAGAGGTTTTGTCTGTCCTGAGTGACGGACAGGCCCCTCTTAGCCACGCAAATGTTAGGTGAGTCAACAGCATTGTACTAGAGTAAGGAATGTCATGACCTTTATAACTAGTCAATCAGAGGTGATTCCGCCCCCACAGGGAACATTTGGAAATATCCAGAGACACTTCTGTTTGTCACGTTTGGGGGGGATGTTATTGGTGGCTACTGGTAGGTGGAGGCCAGAGATGCTACTAAGCATCCTCCAATGACAGGACAGGACCCAACTCAAAGTCCCATTTGACGTGGACTGTAGCTTTGATTAGGGTCTGCTGCCAAGAAAGAATATAAAGAGAGAGGCATGCAACGTGGGCCAATGGCCTGTTTCACATAAGTTCTGTTTTGTTTGCTGCTGGACCCCAGCACAGCAGACACGTAGTCACTCAATCAATACTTGGTGAGTGTTGCACGGTGAATCCAGCGAGGGCGTGTACGGACAAGCCTCCCGCACACTGTGCCAGACTGACGTCCAACAGTGACACCTTGTGGTGAGAACTGAAACAACCGAGCAGGTGGACCAACACCTTTCTTTGGTTGGTGTTTGCCGAACTGATCCCTTAGGACCGAGAAGGCCCCAGGATTTGTGGAAAAATCACGAGACTAGAGAGAAGCAGGAAGACTCAGGAAGATGATATTTGATGTCCTGCTCACAAAGGCAAACGAGAGTTTGAGTAATTCAGGGGAAAGGGCAAAGAAAGATGACAATATATTTGAACCCCAAACTGATAAAACAAGTCACAGAGGTTATTTTGTGAGATGGAAAAAAAATAAAGTCTCCAAATAATATGTATGGATAATCCTAATTCTATTCTTTAAAGAAAGTATACACATACGTATTTGTCCAGAAGAATTATACCAAAAGTTATACCAAAATGACAACAGCAGGCTCCTAGAGGATGGGGCTTAGGGTATATTTTATTTTTGCTAATCTATTTTCTGATTTATTTTACAGTGGCTATATATTGTTTATGGTAAAAAATAAGAAGTAGATGTTGACCCAAAATACAAAGGCACTTCAGAACATCTGCGGTAAAAAGCCACTGGTCTCCTACGCACACCCAGTATTTCTGTATCGGGACCCTGATTATCCAGAACCAAACGCCCTACAACCTCAGAAGGTCTCCCTCGGGCACCAGTTCTCAGGAGCTGCCCTGACCACTTCTTCCAACATCCAGATTCCAGGCTCCTCCTCCCTCTGCTCATGAGCGGCATTTACCAGCCAAAGGCGACTCCGTCTCGTCCTGGCCTGCACGCTGCGGGCACAGGAATCTGGAAGAAGGCGGCAGACGGGTTGGGGACCAGTCTCCAGCCCCCTGCCCGCTCACCTGACATGTGGACCTTCCGCAGGCAGGAGAGGGAGGCGTTGAGGCGGGCACACTCCTCCCGGTTGGCTCCGTATTTCTCCACGGTCTCACACACCTGCTCATCCGTCATCTCCAACAGGTCCTCCAGACTCAGCTGGCCAGGGGTGATTTCCTAGCGGGAGGAAGAGAGGAGGATGGTAAATAAACCGTGAGCACCGGGAGGGGAGGAACACCGTGAGCCTCCACGCCGCCCCCTAGTGGTACCCAGCGGGACACCCGGCCCTGTGCGGATGGCCTCTTGGCTACAGGTTGGGTCTCTGCCTCTGGGGTCAGACCAGCCTGGGTTTGAATCTCAGCTTTGCCACTCATTAGCTAGTGACCTAGAGCAAATCACTTAACCTCTCTGAGCCTCACTTTACTCACCTGTAAAATGGGAATCTTAAGCGCACATACTTGGTAAGTTAGCACGTCTGCTCAGACATAGGCAATGCTCCATAAATGGTGAATGTTAATTATCTGTCTCCCCACGCAGCTTCTGAACTCGGCATGGGAAGGGCTCCATTGTCCTCGTCTTTGGATGGCCCTCAGAGTCTCCCGCTCAGCTTGGACTGCAGTGACTTTTCGTAAATCCAAGGTGAACGCAGAGCAGAGCAGACTGGACAGCCCAAGACTCCCGATGGCTGCCCCCACTCTCTGCTTCTCTCTCCTCCAGCCACACATCCTAGGATTCACACTGGGGTTCAGGAACTCTACGGGGAAAGGGGCTGGAGCCCTGACGGTGGCTCAGTGCTGGAAATGAAACTGGATTTGTGTCTGAGCCCCGTGGGGCACGGCTTTGCATCCCCAGACAAAGTGGGAAGGCTGGAATATAGCGTGGTGGGGGGGCGGGGGGGGGGGGTGTGCCTCTGGAGAGATGGGCTGGGAACAGAACAGGTAGGCTCCTTGGCTACAAATGTCCCCTCACTGCCACCAGGAACCACCCTCCCCTCCCCAAAATCACATGGCCCTAGACACCGTAATATGGATACACCCTGAAATTTGTCAGACTTCTATACTTATGTGCCTATAAAAAGAGAGCCTTCATTTTTATTTTTAAAGATTTTATTTTTTCCTTTTTATCCCCAAAGCCCCCCAGTACATAGTTGTATATTCTTCGTTGTGGGTCCTTCTAGTTGTGGCATGTGGGATGCCGCCTCAGCGTGGTCTGATGAGCAGTGCCACGTCCGCGCCCAGGATTCGAACCAACGAAACACTGGGCCGCCTGCAGCGGAGCGGGCAAACTCAACCACTCGACCACGGGGCCAGCCCCAAGAGAGCCTTCATTTTATAGCACTTAATGGCATCTATCGTTTTTACGTATATTATTATTTAAATAAAAGTTTTATGGATGGAGGTTGTAAGGCAACATTGTGGAATACTTCTGCCCTCTTGTGGCCATCCCTGTGTATTACAACAAGATCAGACACCCCTCCGCTGCATCAGCACAAAATTCTATCCAAAGATGCACAGAAAAAGCGGAGCCGGGTCAATGCCCTTCCAACTCACTGGGCAGCGGGCAGAGAGAGGACAGTACCTGAGTCACTTCGAGGCTTTCTCAAACAGGGACACGCTGCAGGTAAGCCCCCTTTAAGAAAGGTGACAGACCCAGATCTGAAGGTGCAAAATGCATCGCATTTAGAGGGGAGGACTCACGACATAAAAGAGTTCTCCTCTTTGCTGCAGGATTCACTGGTGCATTTTAATCCTATAATTTACCCCCCAAAATACTCAATTTACATGGAAGTTTAGGGTTCACCAAAAAAACTCGCAAAAGTAATAATGACATCAAAAATGGAAACAGCCTTAACAGACCCGGGCCGAAAAAGCAGATGCACTTCTGTTCAATAAAATAATAATAGGTAGGGGCTGGCCCTGAGGCATAGTGGTTAAGTTCAAAGTGACCCAGGTTCGCAGGTTCCCATCCCAGGTGCGGACCTATGCCACTCATCAATGCTGTGACAGTGACCCACATATACACTGGAGGAAGATTGGCACAGATGTTACCACAGGGCTAATCTTCCTCAGCAAAAAAGATTTTTTAATTAAAATAATAATAATAATTGAAACGGATGGAGCACTGTTTGAAGCATTTTTCATGGATTTTCTTTTAAAGTCACAAAGACCACATAAAGTAGTACTTTTATCATCCTCACTAGTCTCTAACTAGGACAATAAAATTCAGAGAGGTTAGACTAATTGCCCAAGGTCACACAGCAAGTAAGTTTGAACCCAGGTCGACTTTGGAGCTTTCTCCATACTGCTGGTTCCTCCAACAAAAGGGGACCTCTGGTGGCTGCATGTGTGAGCTACAGACAGAGAGTGGAACCCCAGCTCCATCCACACCCCTTGGTTGGTGGTCTTGGACTCAAGGTTCTCACAGACCAAGGTAAGAACCGGAGCTCGGACACCTGCAGGCCAGGTAAACGTAAATGAGCAAAGCTGTGAACTTGGAGCCCCCGGGACCCTAAGGGGCTGCAGAATTCACTTCAGTGTGGTCAGCAATTTCGATTTTACAAGAGAAGCCAGAGATCTCAGTTTTTATGCAAAGCCTTTCAAGCTTTAAATATTGGCTCAAAAAAATTTTCGAACATCGTATCAGCCAAACAAAAAGTGTCTGTGCATCAGACACAGCTTGAGGGCCACCCGCTTTCAATGCCTGGTCAAGAAGAGCTGTCTCTGTCTTATTCGCCCCGCTTGATAAATAAAGGTCCCAAAAGCATCTGAAAAGCAGACTGGGCCACATGAATAGAATGTACTGTCTGCACTTATACGAGACCCTTCATTTTAAGGATATTCACACGAAACCGCCCTCCTGGGAATGAAATAGAAAACACGGAATCACACCCCTTCTGGTGCGCACGTGCGAGGCATGGGGGGTGGGGGATGGAGGAGAGGAGGGGTCTGGCTCAGATTGTTAGATGGTGGGTTCAGGTGAGATCACATCCTGGGACAAGGTCTGAAAAAGACAAAAGGTGGAAGAGGATCTTGGGGGCCTCTTCAAGCAGGGAGCAGGGAGCACTTGGAGAAATGTCGCTTGGCCCCGCAAGCAAGAGGGGGCACCCCTCTTCTGCCTGGCTCGGGGAGGCCCCGGCACCAGGAAAAGGAGGGGAAAGCACAGTGCTTCCCACCTCGCCCTCCAGAGTCCATTGGAGTGGGTTTCTCCCGCTAGCCCCGCACACGCACTAACAGAACAGGTCGCTCCATCTCTAAGCCTCAGTCTCTAGCTCTGTACACTGGTGATGAGAGTCCTTCCCACCTCAAAAGGTCGTTGTGAGGGTTTGAACGGCCTCAACAGTTGGGGTCCTGGGTGTAGAGCCCTCAGTACAATGGCTGGCACCGAAGATTGAATAACTGAGAGCTGGTTTCATTAGGAAGGGCTGATCCGGTCACTGGGAACACTGGGGACCTGGGATCTGAGGGGGAAAGGACATCTCACTGTCCCTGAGACCTTATGGATGTGGGCCACGCCTCGATGGTGGACACAAGACAGCATGTGTTCTGGTTTTGTTTTGCCCTTAGAAAACCTGTTACTTCCGAAGTTTTCAACAGCAATAATAACAATATAATAAGCCAACATTTACTGAGTGCTATTAGGTGCCAGACTATGAACTGAACATTTTATATAGATCACCTCATTTTATCATGCCAGCTACTGACGAAGAGGAGACAATCATTATCCCATTTCACAGACAAGAAAACTAATGCCCTAAGACTGGTGTCCAATATGGTGGCCGCTGGCCACACTAATTAACCCTCAAGACAATTAAAAATTCAGTTCCACAGTCACACACATTAACCACATGTAGCTCAACAGCTACATGTGACTGGTGGCAACTGCATTGGACAGCACAAATATAAAATATTTTCATCGTAGCAGAAAGTTCTGCTGGACAGCACTGGTCCAAGAGGTTAAGCGATTTGGCCAAAGGGACTGAATTCATGAGTGGCAGAGTTGAAAGAGATCCCAACTCTAGAACCACACTCTTTTTTTTTTTTTTTTTTTTTTTTTTAAGTTTTATTTTTTCCTTTTTCTCCCCAAAGCCCCCCGGTACATAGTTGTATATTCTTTGTTGTGGGTCCTTCTAGTTGTGGCATGTGGGACGCTGCCTCAGCGTGGTTTGATGAGCAGTGTCATGTCCGCGCCCAGGATTCGAACCAACGAAACACTGGGCCGCCTGCAGCGGAGCGCGCGAACTTAACCGCTCGGCCACGGGGCCAGCCCCTAGAACCACACTCTTAATGACCCCATTCAACAGCCTCAGAGATCCTCCGTGCCTTCATCCCATACATATTTATTGAAGGCCTACTATGTGCCAGGCACAGCCAAAAACCCACTGCCGCAGGGGCTGTCTGCTGGCCAGTTAGGGGCAGGGGGCACGGGGCGCCTCCGGTCACCTCCAGGACTTCCTTGCGCACGTCGACGATCCGGAACCAGTGGCGGAGCTGGGGGAAGCCATCCAGCTCGGCGTTGCGCTCCTGCAGGGCCACCTTCTTTTTGCAGGACAGCTGCCGGCTGAAGTACTTCACCAGCTTGCTCTGTGGAGACAGATGAGGACAGAGGACACATCTCAGAGGCATCGCCACAAGGAGAGGCAAGAATCTCCCTACTGCCCACTCCGTGCCCCCATCCCACCCAACTCTGTATTTTAAAGACTGGCTCAAGTGCAATGAGGGAGACACACGTCGGCCCTTGAGTGGGGGCCTTGGGGCTGCATCCTCCTCCATTTCCACAGCACATATCCCTGGACCCTACAATTCCACTGCTAGGAACTCATGCTACAGACACTCCATCCTGTGCAAAATGACTGCGTAAAAGCATCTTCCTTACAGTTCTCTTGGCAGTGACAAAAGATGGCAAACATCCTGAGGGTCCATCAGCAGGAGCCTCATAAAAGAGGCACACGCACACAAGGGAACCCTACGCAGCTATAAAATAAAATGAGGATGCGTGCTTTGTCTGATATGGAACAGTCTCCAAGACACGTTGATAAACAAACACAAATACTCTCCCATTCACGTGGGAACTGTTGACATGTATATATCTTCATAAATGCAGACACTGTCTGGAAGGATTCCCAATCCTCTAGGGAAGGGAGGAGGGCGGGTGGGGAACAGAGGTGGGAGAAACATTTTATTTAAACACTTTTGTACCATTTGAATCTTGAGTCACATGCAGGTAGTCACAAATTAACAAAGACTTTTAAAATGAGATGGGCCTGGCCCCGTGCTTCTGGACGGATGCCAGGATGCGAGAAAGGAAAGTGTTTTATTGCTAGTTATGTAAAAACTAGCAACATTAACAAAAGACAGGCCCTACATGTGTGCGGGAACAGAGAAAGAGTATGGAAGACACACCCCAGGCTGATAACTGGGATGGGGAGAGGCACAGACAGAGTGAGAAAAAGGTTCGATGTTCCTTAATATATTTTTGCTTGGCTTCAATCGTTACCTAAAGCATATTATCATCTTTGTAATTTAAAATATACTTAATAAAGATAACTAAATGAAAGAAAAATAAAATCCTTAGGTACATAAATGCCTCCGGTATTTCAAAGCACAGTCAGCCAACATTTATCAAGAAGACGGTCCTGGAATTTTAGGATCACAGAATTTGGAGCAAGGTATGATGGCAGTGGGCATCTATTGGTTCTGTCCAGCCCGTCTCCATTCCCCCTTTCGCTGAAAAGGGTATTTCAACTCTCTTTTGGGGAAACCTCCTTCTTTGGCTCTCAGTGCACATGGTTCAGGCACGGCTGTTTCACTGAGCCTACCCTGCCTGGGCTGCAGGCGGCCTGGGAATTAAGCCTGGCCACAGCATCTGGATCAGGATGACACGTGAGCCAGGCTGGGCCACCAGAGCCCTCCCCACAACTCTTCGCAAGCTCTCAGGAACAGCCGTCCCTTCCCACTAGAGTGTCTGGGAGGTGTCATAGAAGCCGGAAGCTGTCAGGGCCATCCCTGCTGACATGGAGAGAGCACCCTGAGACTGAAGCCCAGGGGAAGAAATCAGAGAACTAAGTTTTTAAGTTCACACTAATTTTCTCACCTTACTAATAAGATGAAAGTTGCCTTTCTTGGTAAGCCTATGTGTCGTTGCAACAGAAGCACAAAAATCACTGGTTAAGCGAATGTACCTGGAACACTTTTCATTTGGAATCTCAATTTAGAATTTAGAATAGAAAAATGCCAAAAAATACATGTTTTTTCTCCCATGTATTTCTGAAGGAATAGAGTCTGCCCTATTAAGACTTCAGAGTAGGGCTTTCAACTAAGACATCTACAGAACTCACACGTCTGTCTTTTGTGTTATTTTTGGACTTGTTTCAACTATTTTCTATACACAGGTACAGAAAACCACTCAGAAGAAATAAACATACTTCGACACCTCCCCATCATTCTTCAAGCACTTCTTTACTTTCATGCACAACAAAATTTTCCAGGCTCATCTTGCTCTTTTCCTGCCCCTGTTCTGGAATCAGTCATTTCACCAAAGAGCACTGGTTCCTCTGAGGGGAAGATGGTATTTAGAAGCCAAGATTTGGATGGTTGGTGTGCTTACTGATCTTGAGGTGTCCTGGTTTCCAGTTCCCTCAGCGGGCAGCCTAGGTAATATATGTACGTATGTGCAATGCATATATGTAGATACATAAGTTTACACCTATATTTATTTTTTTATCTATATGTGTTGATAACCAATAATCCCAAACCAACACCACAGGATTTATTCTAGTTTTTTCCCTTCCCACATTTGCATCACTCTTCTCGGACACTGAGAAAAATACTCCTTAATATGTTTATTTATTATTTGCTTAACCTGCTGAATTTCGCTAATATCCCAACTCCACTGGGCCCCTGCCCTGTCCAGACCCATCCTCAATTGGGCCACTGCCCTGCTTGGATGTCCCCTGTGGGCCCTGACCCCCGCGGGGCTGCCCTCTCACCCTAGCTCTGCTGCCTGCCTTGTGAAGATGTTCATATGTCTGATTTGCAAAAAGTTTTCTTACTTTTCATCTACGTATCTTAATGAATAAAATTTTCCTTTTATTTCCAATCCTTTCCTGAGTTCTGTCACCTCATTCTTGAGATTTCCAATCCTGATTTAAACTGTTTTTTCAGATCTTGACATTTTCCAGAGGATTCTCAAGTCTTGTATGCAGGCACTCCCCCCAAATCTGCTTTCATTGCACAAACTGAGAAGCGAAATCGATTTAATCTGTGTGTCAAATGTCCAAAATGGTAGTCGACCAGCCATGTGTGGCTAACGGATCATGGTGTGGCTAGTGTAACTAAGGAATGGAATTTTAAATTTTATTTAATTTAAATGCAAAAACGGAAGCCACGTATTTTGCTGTTAAACATAATTTTATTGTTTTGATAGAACTACATTTTACCTTAACCTTGAAAATTTTAGCATCTGAATTGAGATGTGCTATAAGTATAAAATACACACTGAATTTCAAAGACTTGAGAGGAAAAGAATAATGTAAAACGTCTCATTAATATTTTTACACTGATTACATGTTTACATGATAATATTTTGGATGAACTGGGTTAAATAAAATATATTCTTAAAGTTAATTTCATCTGTTTCTTGTTAATGTGGATACTAGAAAATTTAAAATTACACATTTGTTTCTCTCATTATATATATTCTCTCATTCTCACATCTGTTGCTCTCATTATATTTCTAACAAACAATGCTGCTGTAGGGTTTTATTCTAAAGAAATAATTAAGAATATTCATGAAGCTTTGCTCCAAGTTGATAATAGCCATGAAGGATTGGAAATAAGCCAACTCTTCAACAATAGGGGATGATGTAAATAAATTACAATGTATTCATATAGAAATGATGTATAAAATATGCATAATATTTATAATGTATAAGCAATGCATTGAAAATTTATAAAACTACATGTGTATAGATGCATCGAAAAAGCCCTGGGAGGGTACATAGCACAGTGTTAGCAGTATTTATCTCTGAGACTAAGATTATGGGTGACCTATTTTTTTTCCCGTTTGCTTCTTTATAGTAATATTAGAAAATACAACGTATATGTATTACCTGCTTATTAATGGAAAAATGTTTGGATACGTTTGGCAACATTTTAACACTGATGCTATCAGTGTCAGTGAGAATGTGAGAAACCCTTGAGAATTCCACGGGAGGGCAACTTGATTTGGTGGTATCAGCATTTCAGTACCCATGCACTGTGACCGAGGAAACTGATGTCTAGGAATCCACCCTACAGAAATACGCACATGTGCACATGGGGCGAGAGGCTGGCTGGCTATCGCAGCAGTTTGCGATTTTAAAAACACGAAAACAATTTTTTTAAAGGGTCATTAACAGAAAAGATAAATATGAATGAGTTACAGCACATCCATAGAATTGAATACTATATAAACTTTCAAAAATAAAGTAGATTAGGGGCCAGCCCAGTGGCACAGCAGTTAAGTTCACACGTTCCGATTCTTGGCAGCCTGGGGTTCGCCAGTTTGGATCCCGGGTGCAGACATGGCACCACTTGGCAAGCCATGCTGTGGCAGGTGTCCCACGTATAAAGTAGAGGAAGATGGGCACGGTTGTTAGCTCAGGGCCAGTCCTCCTTGGCAAAAAGAGGAGGGTTGGCAGTAGTTAGCTCAGGGCTAATCTTCCTCAAAAAAAAAAGTAAAATAAATAAATAAAGTAGATTAATACATATTGATTTAAGAAAAGATTTTCATCTTCAGTGATAAAGCAATCTGCAAAGACACTGTATAATTGCATTTATATTTTTAAAACTATATATGTGTTAATGATATGATTATGAACACAGAAAAATACCTGGCAGAATACAACGACCTATAATAGTAAAAACAGATATGGGGAAAAGAGGGGCATTCACTTTTTCCTGCACAACTATTTTTTCAATTTTTATAGTAATTTATATATTTTATTTGTATATATTTTTATTTACATATATTTATATATAATTTGTATTTATTACATAAATAAAATATAATTTATATATATAATTTATAAACTTATTTATAATAAGTTCATATTGCTTTGCTTTCTCAACACTAAGAATTTTTTTTATTTTAAGACTGAGTTTAGGTATCCTGTCCACACTTTGCATATATCTAAGCTTTGGTTCACTCATTGACTCAAACAATATTTACTAAGCGCCAACTATATGCCAGTGTGCCAGGCACTGTGTTAGGCTCTGGGAATTCAATAAGTAATATGATTAATCAAAGTTTTACCTTCTTTCTGATATTTTTGGTACAGAGAACCAAAATCAGTCCTGAATTTCAGACGAAGATTTCGATATGAAACCTGCACCCAACAGTTAGCGCTCTGAATCTATCCTAGGAAGTTTCGGGACAAAGAGATCTGCTCAGGATTACAACTTTCCTCGCCACGAGGAAAAGAAACCAGAGTGATCAAAAGCACAGGGGGTCTCTCAGCCCTGGGACAATGTCACTTGGCACCAGCAGTAAGTATGGCTAGAAAGCCTGCTTCCTTTGCACTGATTTAAATTAAGGACTCTAG